AAAATAGTCTATTGTGGTGATTGACATAATTCACCACGGAACTGTGGGTTGGGAGTATTGTTCCGCACGGACACATATGTTTACTGTACTTACTGTGTGCCCTCCTTTCTTGTCTTCCCGGGCTTCAAGCCGACAACATGTGTGTTTCTGATGCTCAATAAAGCTAAGTTAGTACCTTCGATACACCGCCTCCGACTCCCGTCTCTCGGAACTACATTGGTGACCCTGACATAAGTCTCGCAGAAGTATCCGAGACTGAACCGAACATGGCAAATAATGCAGTTTTTCTCAAACTGCCGGAGTTTTTGGGAGACGTCTGCGGCTGCATCGTTCGCACAGACTAAGTCTAAGTTTCGCCCTCCTCGGAATGGCCGAGGACGACGCTCACCATTTCCACATCGTTTCGGCACTGGGAGACAGCATGCCTTCCGACCACATGGAGATGATGCGCGACCTGCTAGGTACGGAAGAACCCGACTTCTTGTTCATGGGACTGTTTCTTCGGGACATGCGGCCGCATGTCCAGACAGCGCTCGCTGACACGGCTAGTGTTGAGCCCCGCGCTTTAGCCGAAGGAGCTGACCGGTTCTTCCTGGCCGCCCGGCGTTTTACCCCTGAGGTGCTGGCCCCGTCATGCAGCGGCACCTTCCCTGGCAGAGGCACGCCACCTAGCAGAGGCTCCGGGCCCGTCTCACCTCGCCTCGGCAACAGTTTCGGACGTCGCCCACGCTTTCATCGGTGCCTGGGTGGCGCGCTTCGGGACCCTGCCTGGCCTCTCCTCTAACCGCGGCTCACGGTTCGCCTCGACGGCGGCTTCGGACGTCGCCCACGCTTTCATCTGCGCCTGGGTGGCGCACTTCTGGACCCCGTCTCCCCTGTCCACGGCTCCTTCCTCCCGGGGATACTGCTCCTGCCTCCCGGGGATACCGCTCCTTCCTCCCAGGGACTTCGTGCCCGCCGCCGCTGCACCCTCGCCTGCGGCCGGGCAGCGCTCCTCCCTGCGCCCGGGCAGCGCTCCTCCCTGCGCCCGGGCAGCGCTCTTCCCTGCGGCCGGGCAGCGTTCCTCCCTGCGGCCGGGCAGCGTTCCTCCCTGCGGCCGGGCAACGCTCCTCCCTGCGGCCGGGCAGCGCTCCTCCCTGCGGCCGGGCAGCGCTCCTCCCTGCGGCCGGGCAGCGCTCCTCCCTGCGGCCGGGCAACGCTCCTCCCTGCGGCCGGGCAGCGCTCCTCCCTGCGGCCGGGCAGCGCTCCTCCCTGCGGCCGGGCAGCGCTCCTCCCTGCGGCCGGGCAGCGCTCCTCCCTGCGGCCGGGCAGCGCTCCTCCCTGCGGCCGGGCAGCGCTCCTCCCTGCTGGGGACCACCGGGACATTCACGCCCGTCCCCACGTCGCAGCACAGCGACTTTCTACGGTTGGCGGATGTTGTCTTCATTCGCCACGACGCCTACCGCGGCCCCCTGCGGCCCCCTTACGACGGCCCGTTCCATGGCCCGTCCCCCATCCCCCGGTGGGGATGCCCTCGCCCTTGTTGGGGCCCCTGCCCTCTCCTGCGGCCCCCTTCCGACGGCCCGTTCAGGGTCATGCGACACGGGGACAGGTGTCCTCTGTTCTCCCATGGCCCGCCCCCCACCCTCCGGTGGGGATGCCCTCACCCTCGTTGGGGCCCCCCTGCCCCGGCCCCCCTGCCCCGGCCCTCGCCTGCGGCCCCGCCCTCCTCGGCCCCTGTGGTGCTTCCTCCTGGACGCGAGGATTGTGTCCATCGTTGAATTCTGGGGGGGCTTGTGTGGTGATTGACATAATTCACCACGGAACTGTGGGTTGGGGGTATTGTTCCGCACGGACACATATGTTTACTGTACTTACTGTGTGCCCTGCTTTCTTGTCTTCCCGGGCTTCAAGCCGACAACATGTGTGTTTCTGATGCTCAATAAAGCTAAGTTAGTACCTTCGATACACCGCCTCCGACTCCCATCTCTCGGCACTACACTATTCAAATTGTTGCGGCAACAATTTAGTATACAGAAAAAAATAGTACAAAGTATGCCCATTGCATTTACGTTGGTTACTGATAGGAAAACTCCGGATGTGCTTATTTATAATACCTACATCTAAACACCAAACAAACGCACTCTACGTTTCGTTGCGAACCGTCCAGAAGAGGGAGCTAATTGGACAATCAGCACCCCAGGGGCCTCATTTATAACGCCTTGCGTAGGATTCACGTGGGAAGGTTGCTTACGTAGTACAAAGCAAAAAAATAGGTACAGACATTTTCCGATTCACAAAACATTGCGTACCGGCGAGGGAAGTGCCTACGGCACTTCCTACGCCTGTTTCCCTTTATAAATCACAATCGACTTGAAATGCGGCGCAGCTTTTGCAGGCTTCACGTAACGCCCATATTTGCCTATAAATAGTCAAAGAAACGCCCATTCATTCATTCATTTTGACTGACTGCATGAAGAAGATAGCAGGAAATGAGGACAGAACAGCTAAAAAAGACATCTCACACCGTGGCCGTTTCTCAATCGCGAGGATATTGGTTTCCAAGCCAATATTTCAAGGATGCTACGTCATCGAGTGCCGCCGAAGGACTGTTCCAATCTCCAGCATACTTGGAATTCCACCGAAGCCGCATCCTTGGTTTGGGGGAAATGTTGAGGCTGCACATGGGTAGACTTCGCGTCCTTAAAATCTCCACAATGCTTTGTGCATGGACCAATTTCCCCAAATCTGTGGCGGAAGATGTAAGGCGGGGCCTCTCATATGACGCACACCTGCACACTTGCTAGCCTGTTCCACTCTTTGTTTTCCGAATGCCAGGAAGTATTCTTGCCTTGCTTCTGAAGCAAGATGCTCGGCTCGGCTGTGCTACCAAGCCAGCATCCTCGCGATTGAGAAACGGCCCGTGTCAGATTTTGGTTATTTTGGGGAGGTCGAGATAAATCATAATGTTTGGTAGATGCAGTTTGAACCAGAGTAGCAGCATGCAGGTCGGATCGTCACCAAAATAAATAAATAAGTGGTCCGAAAAAGGTTAATGACAAAAAAAATACACATAACCTTCCTCAGGCAGTGTGTTTGTACCGGGGACAGGAAACACCCCCTTGATGAGAAACTCTAAGAAATGATCGGGGAATCCCTCCAGAGTGGAGTCATGACGACTGGATCTGAATAATTTTGTTGTATTTGGTGGTTTGTGTTCCAGCTTTCGATCAGCAACTATATATCCATAATCCACCAGTTAAAGGAAATACAAGTAACTAATGTATTGTGTTATATTAGCTGTACAATTTACAACATATTGTGTTCTTAGTTTCCATACCTCCTGTGTTTTACGAGCGAAGTCTTGGCAAACGGAATAAACACGATTAAACGTGATAGGATATAAAACCATGCTCGTATCTACAACCTATAGAAAAGCAAAACGGCGTCAGTTTAGACGTAATTCTGTCCTCTGCTTACCGCATCATTTATGAGAAAACATTTCATAACATTAACACAACATATTCGAGGTGGTTTTAAATAACATATCCGTATTTATTTATTTCTCCAAGTTATGTTTTTGTGTGCACTGAGGAGTCTCAAACAGGCGTTTGTTTAATCATTTTAAGATTGCGTTAATAACGCGTTAACGCAAAAAAAAATTAACGCCACTAATTATTTTAACGCGATTAACGCATGTGTATTTTTTGTCCTCGGCCGCCCCGTAGTTTCAGAGCGCATCGAGTTTAAAATACCATCTACAAGCTGATGCTGACAGCCCCGCTCCTGCCGCCCGCTTGTGGCAGACCACACTTCCACGCTCACCGGCAGGCCCGGACTGGCCATCGGGAGGACCGGGAGGGTGTGTGTATGTGTGGCGCGACTCGCGAGCGAGGCACACCTTACGTGTTGTTGTTGTTATTAGCATCTGGTGCTAGCTAGCTGCGCTAACGGATATAAGGAGCTGTTTCAATGAAAACAGAGGAGCGACATTTCGCCGACAACTGCGCCGAGCACTTGACTTTATGCAGGTAGCCAGACAGTGGGACATTGTACGAAAAGTCAGCACACTCAGCACGGATAGTGCGCGCAACATGATTGCAGCGTCCAGGCAGCTCCCGTTCGAGCATATGCCTTGAGCTGCACATAGCTCCAATGATCCATCACAACACACACACACACACACACACACACACACACACACACACACACACACACACACACACACACACACACACACACACACACACACACACACACACACACACACACACACACACACACACACACACACACACACACACACACACACACACACACACACATTGTATTATTGTATGAGAGAGGTTCCAGGTTGAATTGAGGCGAATATTTGTAATGTTCAGAGGTTGTTGTGTTTAATATTCATGAGATTATTTGTCATTGTTCAAATGATAATAAACAAACATATAAAGCATATTTGTCCACTCATATGTTGATAAGAGTATTAAAAACTTGAAAAATATCTCTCTAAGGTACATTTAGAACAGATACAAAATGTGCGATTAATTTGCGATTAATCGCGATTAACTATGGACAATCATGCGATTAATCGCGATTAAATATTTGAATCGACTGACAGCCCTAATTATTTCCACATATTTCTCTCCATTCTTCCTTCTGCCAACGGTGTCGCAGTTTCTCGTCTCTCCCGTTGTTGTGCTTAGTGCGTACGCATGGGTTAGAGTTTGCGTGGAGGACCGCACATTTTCCCGTGAAGTTAGTATTTTATAAATCGCAAACATTGCATAGAAACTGGCGTACGCCATTTTTTGAGCGTATATCCCTTTATAAATGAGGCCCCTGAACACCACAGAAGAAGTTAATTAACCCGGAAGTAGGCGGGACTCCGGTTCTGTAGAAGAAGAAGCTAGCCGCTAGCCCCTCTGTGCTGCAAGTTCGGATTCTGTCTCTAGCCGGTCAACATTATCCAACTGGTGGGTCCCCTCCGAAAAGAACTCGCCGACTCCCTCTCCACCAGCGTGATTTTTGTGAAATTATAGTCTTTATTGTAAGTGGAAACATTCAAAAACATTTGGCACGTTTACAAAACAGTAAAAATTCACATCACTAGCTTAATGTATCTAAGAATATAAATATTTCTGTTATACATCTTAATAGAAATATTACAATGACAGCATAAACAATAAAAACAAAAATAAGCTACAAGTTAGGTCACTTTATCAAATTCATAACAGTCATACTCTCAACTTTCCAAAGAGTTTGTAAAGATTGTAAAGATGTATCAGGATCTGAAGTTGTCTTACTGGACTGTAAGAAAACTACACATACTACAACATTAAATAATCCATCATTAAAACAAATATACCTATTAATATGTTTGTAATTATTGGGATAATTATGCGTACCATGATCATTGCCATAAGCCTCATCATGGTGACCAACAAATATACGGAACATAAACTAACTACACAGTTTGTATTGGAGAATAAACAGATCAGGGTCAAACAAGTCATCAGCCTTTAGTTTAGATAAGGGGGTCATTTTTTTGAGAAGTCTACTATAGAAAATAAAGCACCTCATTTCACATGTTTTATTGTTTAATCTCCTAACTGCTCTTCTATTCCGCTCCATTTCGGACATCAATCTCCTTGGGAACGTCTGATTGGCCCTCCATGATTTGTTGGACTTGGGTGATCACCTTTTCGTGGAACACAATGTCCAGGTGGGCCAGCCCTCGGTACTCGGTCACATGCACGGGCTGCTCCTGCTGCTCCGCCCACTTTTTGCAAAGGCTCATGCTAAAGCTGTCCACCGTGTCGTCCCCATCGGCGTAGACAAAGTCCACCGGGTCCTTGTTTGGAAACTCCTCGTCGTATATGTATGTCACGGGAGTTGGAAGGCCCACGCCGTACATACACCACACCTCGACACCAGGAGGGTAGAGGTCTCCAGTGAGGTTCTTGGTGTCCTCCCACATGTGCCTGCAACCAACAAGAAGATTATGGGGTTGTAAAATCGAATAGATACAATGGATCATATGACTACTTGTGAAAAGGGTCTTTAGTATTGTTTAATTGGCTTTCAATGATTTAATCATTGAGGGAAATGGCCAAAATGATGTGTGTAAAGTGTAGCAAGGGGGATATCCACTTTATTGATAACGGATATCCACACCAAAACTTTCTCTTCCTTTTGCCGGTCATTGTTTACAATTCGATCTGCAACTCAAGAATGGAATTTGAATTGAGGGACACAAATTCAGCTAATTTATAGAAACAGATATCTTTATATGAATGCAGATAAATAAATAAGAAACGCTTAGTTGGATTAGACAGCAATCAGGTTCCGACCCTCACAAAACAGTGATTGGTCGATGTGTTGCCTTTCTTGGAAGATTAATATTCGTAAAACTGTTCAATATAAATCATTAAGGTTGATTTGGATTGTTTATACTGCCCCCCTGTGTTCGTTTGTGGTACCTAGGATGTGTGCATGTAATAGGGAATTTCTTCAGTTGACGTCACGACATGCAGCTGACTCCCGGTGCTGCAGAGTTCCTTTCTAGAGAGACTCATGGGACCTTATTTCGGAAAAAGTTTGTATTGAAGTCAATGGAGAGAGAAAGATTATCTTTCGATCCCGTTTGAATTGTGCCACGAATTACACATATGATGTTTGCCAATCTTAAATAATAATTTCGATGTCAAACAAGTCACAGTTTGTCGTAAAACTGTTGAAATATAAGACTATGAAAAATACGCAACTAGAAAGACTACAAATCCCAGAATCCCAGTCCCGCATGCTGGCTCTTACGGAACCGACTAACTCCCCTTTTGTGTATGTACAGCTCTCAACATGCCCAGACTTGTAGTGATTTTCACCTCTTTTAATACTTTTCGCCTCATTCTGAAAGAAAGAAGTGAAATGTGCCAACGTGACGGCCGTCTTGGTGTGTGGTGCGAGACGGGAGATGTAGTTCATTGAGCGGTTTCACACAAAAAAAGTGTTACTTCACAGTTTTACGACACATTTTTATTTTTTTGACTTGTAAAATTATCTTTTAAATTGACAAACATCATATGTGTAATTCGTGGCGGGATCGAAAGATAATCTTTCTCTCTCCATTGACTTCAATGCATAACTTTTCCGAAATAAGGTCCCATGGAGCTCAACCGGAAGGGGAGGGACTTCGCCTCTCTATTGACCTGTAAGTACCAGAACATAATGTATAACCTGTGTAACATTATTATGTTGTAGAAAATGTTTGTTAGAACATGCTTAATTTAGCAAGCAGTTAGCAGCTAGCTTTACATTTAGCTTACTAGTCGTAGCATTATTGTCAATGCACTATGTTTAGGCTTATTGCATTATTAATGTTGGCGTGTTTATTGCACTTACATTTACAGTAAGCTGTTGTTTTCATATGCCTTTGATGGTAAAATGGTGAATTGTATTTGTTTGGTTAAATGGGTTTAGTTAGTAGCCTTACATACAGATGCTGTGTACATGTATGAGTGTATGTATGAGATGCAGACTAATTGAATTAATGTATGTATTGTAGTGATCACTAATTAACGGGGTTACATAATTCAATCAAGGAACTACAGGTTGGGGGTATTGTTTCCGCACGGACACATATGTTGACGGTACCTCCGGGGTATATACTGTGTCCTCCTCCCTTTCGCTTTCTCTTCTCTTCCTGGGCTGCGACCCGACAACATGTCCGTTTCTGTCGCACCTTCGATGCACCGCCTCCGACTCCTATCTCTCGGCACTACATTGGTGACCTCGACATAAGTCTCGCGAAGTATCCGAGACTGAACCGAACACGGCAAAAAACAAATGCTGTTTTTCTCGAAATGCCGGAGATTTTTGGAGACGTCCGTGGCTGCCACGTGCACACAGACTGAGGCTCGGTGCGCCCTACGGAATGGCTGAGGACGTCGCTCGCCATTCCTGCGACCTGCTAGGTATGGAGGAACCCGACTTCTACCTCTTGGAGCTGTTTCTTCGGGACATGCGACTGCATGTCCAGGCTGCGCTAGCTAACACGGCTAGTGTTGAGCCCCGCGCTTTGGCCGAAGAAGCTAGCCGGCACCTTCCCTGGTGGGGGCACGCCGCCTAGCAGAGGCTCCGGGGCCGACGACGACGGCAGCGACTAACGGCCGTCGAGAACGGCTAGCCACGACTGCTAACGGCTAGCAGCTACCAACGGCTAAAGACATCTAGCCACGACAGCTGGCGGCTAGCAGAGCAGCTAGCGGCTATCGACATCCGACTGTTTTTTTTTGTGGTGCCGGAGAGGAGGTTCGATCAAGTCTGGTCGGCCTCGTGTGGATCCTCTCGCTATTTCGCCTACCTGTTTTTGATCGTGGACAGGACGACCCTTTTGAGTTTTTTTCTGGTGCCTGAGAGGAGGTTCGACCATGTCTGGTCGGCCTCGTGTGGACCCTCTCGTTTTTTCACCACCTCGACGGTGGCTTCGGCCGTCGCCCATGCCTTCTTCGGCCCGTGGATGGCGCGCTTCTGGACCCCGTCTCGCCTCGACTCTACGGTTTCGGACGTCGCCCATGCCTTCATCGGCCCGTGGGTGGCGCGCTTCGGGACCCTGTCTGGCCTCTTCCCTCGCCTCGGCGGTTTCGGACGTCGCCCATGCCTTCATCGGCCCGTGGGTGGCGCGCTTCGGGACCCTGCCTGGCCTCACCTCTAACCGCGGCTCACGGTTCGCCTCGACGGCGGCTTCGGACGGCGCCCCGTCTGGCCTCTCCCCTGTCCACGGCTCCCTCCTCCCGGGGACACGGCTCCTTCCTCCCGAGGACTTCGTACCCGCCGCCGCTGTGCCTTCGCCTGCGGCCGGGCAGCGCTCCTCTCAAACATTCTTTATAACACAGTTTCAGATTTGTGAAACCTTAATTCTATTTGTGAAAATACAAAAAACACATTCCTAGTATGTTGTAAAACTACATGGCGACTAAACTTGTATATTGTATATTGCTTATTTTCCCCTCTTAGGAAAGCGGACACGGGATGCGAATTTCTTTGACACCGCCCAGGCGTTGGAGGACCGGCGTGCCGTGGTGAATGAGTCGCTGCGTGGAGATCAGATGGTGCTGTTCACCAAGGCCCAGGAAACGGAGGACAAGATGCTCACCTCGATGGAGCGCCAGGCAGAAGTGTTCAAGCAGCAGATGGAGCGCCAGCAGCACCAGGATGAAGTGTGGGCGCTGCGCCATGAGGAAGCGTCGGCGCAGCGGCAGGATGAGCGACAAACTGCATTTAATAACAGTTTATTTGGTATAGTTTTTGTAAATACTGACACACGACACACAACGTTGCACTAAGGTGTGCATGCTGCTGAGAATATCCCTACACCTGGGACAGTTTATTTTATATTGTTATTACTGTTATGACTTTATTTTATATATAATGTTTACTGACATGTACAACTGACACTTTATTTACATTTAAAATTGTTCTATTTAATGTTATGTCTTGAGAGTGCAATAAAGAAAACCGACATGGCGATTAAGCTTATTTCTCCTGACACTTTATCTTTTGTGACCTGTGTAGCATCCTATACATCACATGTAAGTGATTATTCTGATACCATCATGTTTCATCGGTTATAAACTGGCAAAGCTTTATTTGTCATTTATTTATCATCAATGTTGCAACCTTGTGGGGGAATGGCAGGGGCACATACACAAATATGATAATTTATATCATTTTAAATATTATTTGACCTAAACTTTTAATTCCCCCCCATTTCACACAACACAACATGGAGTCCACTATGGGCCAAAACTAACATGTATGTTTGCATAGTGTTTATGGCAGACGGATGCAGTGGGTCTCAGGAAGATATATAATAAAGGTGGGTTTGCTGCTGAGACTCCCTACAGCTGGGAGTTTATTTTATATTGTTATTACTGTTATTATATAGTACAACTGACACTTTATTTTATATTGACAATGTTTACTGACATGTACAACTGACACTTTAGTTACATTTAAAATATTTCTATTTAATGTTATGTCTTGAGAGTGCAATAAAGAAAACCGACATGGCGATTAAACAGATCCTGTATCAGTTTTTCTTCTTCTCTTGTTTTGTAGCGGGTTGCAAACAACTTTAAGGTGCTTACCGCCACCTACTGTACTTGTAATCTTCCCTCAGGGAAAAGTACTCCGGTGTGAACGCGATCTGTACTAAGTACCCTGGGGTTACAAGCGCCAGGGCTCTTAGTGCCGGAACTAAGTACAGGAAAGTACTTGGTGTGAACGCGGCTCATGTGTTCACTTTGATGGGCTGTCTTCTGAGTGGTTGAACATTGCTAATGGTGTTCCTCAAGGTTCTGTTTTAGGTCCACTTTTATTCTCCATCTACATCAATAGTTTAGGTGAAAATGTGGATGAAGCTACTTTGCATTTTTATGCGGATGACACCGTGATGTACTGTGCAGGTCCCTCCATTAAGGAGGCTGTTGTTAAATTACAGGCTGTTTTTAACATTATTCAGACTCAGCTCTCTGAACTAAAGCTTCTTTTAAATGTTGAGAAAACCAAGGTAATGCTCTTTTCTAAAGCTAAAAAGACTCCAGAGACTGCTTTGGATATTGTGACTATGCAAGGACAAGTACTCCAAGTGGTTAGCTATTATAAATACCTTGGTATCTGGCTTGATGATTGTCTTACTTTTAAACTTCACGTCACTAATCTGCTTAAAAAGCTGAGGGTTAGATTAGGTTTCTTTTTCAGAAACAAGTCCTGTTTCTCTTTTGAAGCCAGGAAAAGGCTAGTCACTGTGACCTTTTTACCTGTGCTAGACTATGGTGATTTGATCTACATGAATGCACCTGCCCATTGCCTGGAAAGGTTAGATGCCGCCTATCACAGTGCTCTGAGATTTGTTACTAACTGTAAAGCACTTACTCATCACTGTACCCTGTATGCCAAGGCAGGTCTGCCTTCACTTACTGTTCGGAGGCTCAGTCATTGGTACATGTTCATCTACAAAGCCATGCTGGGTAAACTGCCTTCTTATATCTGCTCCTTGATCTCACGGAGAGTGGCAAGTAGCTATTGCCTGAGATCACAGGATGTGTTTTTATTACATGTGCAAAGTGCTAGGACTGTTTTAGGTGCTAAAGCTTTTATGTGCGCTGCTCCTCTAGCTTGGAACACTATGCAAAAAATATTGAAACTCAGCATTTTGATTCCCTTGCATAATTTTAAAGCACGACTGGATGAAATATTATTGGATACCTGTAAATGTAAATAGATGCTAATGTATACCCCTGTAATTATGTTGTGATGTCCTTTTTGTTTTCTGTTTGTTTTTATATGTGTAACTCAATGTACCGCAGGTCTCCCTTGTAAAAGAGATCGTTGATCTCAATGGGATTTTTAACCTGGATAAATAAAGGCTACAAACAACAAACAAACAATACCAAAATTGCATTCCTGTTGCTTACAGATTCCAGATTCACATGTCGATCACCATTTAGTAATATAATGATTACACTTTGTATATAATTACCCCCTGATCTGCAGCTCTTCACATCCCTATATAACTTTGTATAGCGACCTTAATGAGTACTTAAGCAGAGTTAGCATTACCCTCTTTTAGCATTGCACTCCCAGGATGGATAGAAGGGTTGGGTTTTGAAAACGATAAATATCTTTCTTAAACTTGAGAAGATAACATTTCTTCTTGGTGGCCCTGGAGATTGCTTCTAAGCAGAGGTATATTATTTATTCATATCGTTTTTGTATTCAATGTTATGCACTGTTAGTTAATGTTAATTATTTTCCAATACATTTTAATAATTGATTTCATTTATTTGTATTTTATTTATTTTTACTTTGTTGTCTTTTCCTATATGGAATCTATGTCATTTTGGATTCAACTGGGGAGGGGATAAGTGAGGTGTTAAGAGGGGAAGTTCTGACAAGGGTGGAAATGTCAAATGGAAGGAAAAACTGTTTTCAATTGTAACACTGTGTGTTTGTATCTGTACTTCAATAAAATAATATAATATAAAAAATAAATAAATGTATAAATATATAATAATCCTTTTTTTAAATTGTCACTTTCTTTTCTGATTGCCTTGATGAGCCTATAATTATTTTTATTTATTTTTGACAAAGACATAGTCCTTTGTTTCTGGGATAAAGTCATAGTCATTCAGCATTAAAACTGAAGAAGAACTTAAAATCAATGATCAAAGAAATCTATGTAAAAGAGACCAAAACCACCACTGAGATAACTATTCGACTCAGAGGGGCAGCCCTGATTAGATTAAATCTGTAAATTACCAGCCGTCCTCATAATTGATGTCTGTGAAGAGGCGCTGGTAGTCCTGGTTGGTGTAGTTGATGGTGGGTGTGGAGATGAACACGTGGTCGCTTGGCCAGGCTTTTGTGGGCAGCATCCAGGGATTAGTGGTCGTCATCCTCTGCTCCTCGCGGATCTTGATGTTGGAAATCATCGGGATGCCGTCATTTTCTCCTGCAACAAGTCAGATGTATAGGAGAGGTTTTAGTTATAAAATATGAACGTTTTATAAGAAAACATTTCTGATAGCATTGTCTTATTTATGGCAGTATATAGCATTTGTATTCTATTGTAAGTGATTTGTGATGTAGCAAGTCTGTCATCATCTTTTTGGGCGGTAGTAAGTCAGTCTTTAGGGACTTGAATTTCCCCTTGTTGAATTAAATACGTGGCTTCCTCTCATGATACAGAAATGTTATCATTATTGAATAATATTTAATCAGGGCATATACATGTTAACATTTCAACCTATGACTTGTTCATTTTAGACTGCTGACTTCCTGTATCTTATTAACAACAGATCAACAGTGAAAGTAAATAACCATCTAATCTGACGTAGAGTACATAGAAATGTTTCAATATAGAAAGGTGTATCGAAACTGACCCTCTCATAGCCCATGTTTGTGTTTATTTTTTTCAAGCTGGTTCAAACCAGCTCTCTTCGGAAATCACAAAAACACAAAACTGCTACTCTGTGTTTCTCTCTGAATAATGTGTGGCAACTTTGGGCCAAGCGCTCATTTCACTGCAGACTTGTTCCGAGGTGTTTTTGAAAAGTGGTGAAGATATACAGGGTCTGAAGATTTTAAAATCGATTTCAACAAAATTTAAAGCAATGTAATGGGGGATCAGTTTAAGGTCAGAGTGGATAATAATGATATTGGTAAAAAACAAGAAACTACAGGTATGTCACAAAGTTTATTGTAGATTTCCAAACTGGCCATTACCTGACGACAGGACTCTGAGTGGTTTGACAGCGCCCCCCCATGGAGCTGCCAGGGAAATGAAGCCCCTGATGTATTTGTCCTTCCAGGCCTGAGGCTGGTGGTTGAGGAAGTAGAGGACGTAGTGGCAGCCCATGCTGTGTGCCAGCAGGAACACAGGCTTCTGGTACTCCTCGTACATCTCCTCCACCAGTTCGTGCAGCTTCAACAAATACTCTGCGTTCTCATCTGTTGGAGGAGGGGACATCATGTGTTTTTCTTTGTTATCATGCGTGATGATGATCAATTACTATCATTGATCTCATTATTATTATCAGTATAACTTAAAATTGGGTATTGTGACGGTTCTATCAATACCGATACTGCTTATTGTTGCTCTTATCGATATCATGATGAAAGTGGGCACGTGTCCATCTTACACCATCATCAGAGGGCAGGGTTACTCAATGACTGTAGTTAACTATGAAAGGACCTCTCACACCTATATGCTTCTGCAGCAACGCGGACAGCAAGAACTGTATAACTCTTTAAGCAGCAAAAAAAAAAATGTTGGTTCAAACCGCTGTCCACAGAGTGGTGATCTGCAGAGCTGTGCAGAGCAGACACACCAATGCACATGAATACATGTTGCAAGTTCAAAGTTAGGCTAACTTACCTAGCAAGTAGTTAGCGATGCTATGCTTTAGTAGAGGTTCAGTTGTATCTCCGTAGCTAATATTCTAGCAAGCGGTTGCAAATGTAGGCATCTATCAGAAAAGAGGCAACATTTGTAAGTGTTTGGATTTGTCCTTAGCTTTTTTTTGGTCTCCACCAATCCCTGAGAAAACAAAACATTTAAACTGCTAGATAAATGTCTTGTTTATCACCAATTGGTCACTTTGTCTGCAATTCAAAAAAACTAAACAATGAGCTAAAAAGAGGCCAAAAAGCCAAAAGAGTTGAGTAAAAAAATATTTCTACACCAATAGCACCTTGAACGAGCCAAGACTAATTGTTGGGCAAAGTTAGCTCACGCTAAGCTAATTGAGCATTTAGCTTCTTAACTGTCACATATTTAACTAGAGGTAGTTAGGAGTGAAAGAGGGGGAACACCAAACTGAAGTTTGTCAAGAGACCAGACACAACTTTAATCAATGCTAATGTTGCTACATGTTTACTGGATAGGTAAATCAGCAAATGTTTGCATGCTGACAATGTTGTATTAGGAGCTTATTCAATTGCTTCCAAGTAGCCAATTTCTCTTGGTGGAGCTTTAACAAAAACCAAAGACTGTATATAAGAAGTGAACCTAGTCTCCATGACTTCACCCATTGGTTTGTTTGCTACGGATTTGAAGATTCTAATTTGGCATTTTGGCCATTGCCATCTTGCTGCTTTATTCTCAATGTAACTCTTAATGGGACAATTATTTACAAATGAACATCATGCTTCTTTGAAAAAGTCTTAAGACCAGCAAATGATACCTTAAACTTATTCGGAAACTGTTTACTAAGGTAATACATTAAAGGTCTCCTATTATGCTATTTTTAGGCATATATTATAGGTCTCAGATATATGTCTATGAAGTGTTTTTCTCAAAATACCGAACAGATCCGCCATGCCTCATACCCCTCTATTTCAGCCCTGTTATGGCGCTTTTCCACTGCAGGACCTAGCACGGCTTAGTACGGTATGGTTAGGCCTTGGTAGGCCAGGCTCACTTTATGCTGCGTTTCCATTACAGTTTAATAACAGGGGTAGTAACTATAGTAACGCAGTGTAGGCGGGGCGATCGGCTGTTCGGCGGGCGGAGCGACACTGCGAAAAAAATGCCGTCATCTTCAATGTGAACCACAAAACCAAAACATCAGCCGTTAGCTGTTAGCACTCAGAGCTCACAGCTCCTCATATCTGTTCAGAAACTAGCCAAAAGTTAAACAAGTACAAACGGGGAGACTGTCTGTGTCATGGCGAATACAGTCGCTGGTTTATTTATGTCTGTAGGCCGTTGTTGTGAGTGTGGACGGAGCATATACAACGTTAGCTTAGCCTGATCGATCCGATCTCCATTCAGAAAACACGCATTTTAAAAGGTTTTTCGCCTACCGTCTTGTCTGCAGACTTGTCAAAACATTAATTCATGGTTTTTACTAACCGGTATGTTGTTACTTCGGCATCATTTTGAAACGTGTATTACAATTAAATCACGGTAACATATGTTAATTTTGTTGTAGTTGTAGCCCCCTTGCCAGTGATTTTCTCTGATCATTCAGCAGTCGAGAGTGTATACGTCACTACTTTAGCATATTCAGCCCGGTTGTTGGCCCGGTGAGAACCTCGTTTTTGGAGGGCCAGAAAAAAGGTGAAAAAGTAGCCCTGGGCCGGAACTACCCCTAGTGGAAAAGCAAAAAAAAGCGTGCTACGTGCTGCAGTGGAAAAGCGCGATAATAGAGAAGTGCTGATTCTGGGTCTGGCCCTTTAAATGTTGCTGAGCTGCTGCTGGCCACGCCCCTTTGGAGCAAGCATGAGCTCTCCTCTGTGAAGAGAGAGGTTTCTACCCAGATTCTCAGCTAAATGCTGCCGTGATTAAACGCCATATTATGTTCCAAACCACATGGAGGATTATTTCTGAAACAGTATGGAGCTCAAATGTTTTTTCTCTTGCGGGTTTACTACAAGGTGAGTACCTTTTTATATCCGTCTTTTTTACACATACTCTCTCCAGTACAGTGTTAGCTCTGAGTGTTAGTGATGCTTGCTAATGTGAACACAGACCATATTACTTCCAAAACATGTCGCGCATTGTTCCTGATACAGCACGTTTCTGATAGGGCCGTGGGCGTAAAGCCAGCCCACATTTTAGTAATGTCGTCATGACCGCAGCAAATCTGGATTAGCTCCATTGTATCCCCGTTTTTAGAGATGTGGGTACGGAGGAAAAGAGAGAGGGTTTTATTTGATGACACTTTTGGTGCTTTTCCACTGCAGCACGTAGCACGGTTTAAGGTTTCTTTTGCTTTTCCACTAGGGGTAGTTCCGGCTCAGGGCTACTTTTTCACCTTTTTTCTGGCCCTCCAAAATCGAGGTTCTTACCGGGCCAACAACCGGGCTGAATATGCTAAACTAGTGACGTAAACACTCTCGACTGCTGAATGGTCAGAGAGAATCGCTGGCAAGGGGGCTACAACTACAACAACATGAACATATTTTCCCGTGATTTAATTGTAATACACGTTTCAAAATGATGCCGAAGTAACAACATACTGATACCGGTCTGCAGACAAGACAGCAGTTGAAAAACCTTTTAAAATGCGTGTTTTCTGAATGGAAATCGGATCGATCAGGCTAAGCTAACGTTGTATATGCTCCGTCCACACTCAACGGCCTACAGACATAAATAAACCAGCGACTGTATTCGCCATGACACAGACAGTCTCCCCGTTTGTACTTGTTTAACTTTTGTCTAGTTTCTGAACAGATATGAGGAGCTGTGAGGTCTGAGTGCTAACAGCTAACGGCTGATGTTATGGTTTTGTGGTTCGCATTGAAGATGACGTCACGGCAGTTTTACGCAGCGTCGCTCCGCCCGCCGAACAGCCGATCACCCCGCCTACACTGCGTTACTATAGTTACTACCCCAGTTCCTAAACTGTAATGGAAACGCAGCATAAAGTGAGCCTGGCCTACAAAGGCCTAACCATACCGTACTAAGCCGTGCTAGGTCCTGCAGTGGAGTCTCCTTACACACAGTGGAGTCTCCTTACACACCGGGGACACATATTTATGTATAAAAGACATACAAAAGTGCATTTTGCATAATAGGTAACCTTTAAAGGTGGGGTAGGTAAGCTTGAGAAACCGGCTCGAGATACACTTTTTGTTATATTCCATGGAATGCTCTTAACATCCCGATAGCAATGAATATCTTAAGTGCTTTGACAAAAAATCCATAAAAAAATGTCATCTGTGGAAGCCGTAATAGGCTACTGTAAAAAGTACGACCAATCATTTTAGCCGGCCCGGCTAAAATAACTGGATGGCCTACCTGCCTGTCAGCCTTCCATCTGTGCACAAACTTATCTCGTGCCCTCATTGGTCATGTGCGTGTTCGTGTGTGTTGGAGGAGGGGCTCTGTAAGGAAGTGGCAGATTTTCTCCGGCTGTGTATTTTCAAATTCTAGCGATCTCGAGCCGGTTTCTCAAACTTACCTACCCCACCTTTAAGTAATAACTATGGTCATTTTCTCATAGACTTCTAAACAATCCAGGCCTCTATGAGTTCCATTTATATTTTTTGTTTACTGATTAAATGTTTTTACTACATTCTGTTGTTTCACCTATTAGTTCACCACCTTCTCCCTTCTGATGTACTTTTTATACTTCCAAGCGAACACATTCTTGATTGTTATAATAATCTTGTGTGTGTTTGTGTGCATGTGTGTGTAATTTTGCTACTTACTAGGAGCTAATCTCCAGTCGTACGGTGCTCCTCGGACTGTCTCATTCCGCGTGTAGCCCACGTTGACCAAATGTTGCACCATAGTGTGAAAATAACCTGCAAAACCCAGAAGCAGCACACTCAGTGAATGCCAGATGCCAAATCAACTTGCCATCACTTGGTAAAAAGCAGCTGAGCTTCAAAGATATTTGATTAGGTACTGTAGGAATTAAGCACAATTGCTTGGTTACATTCATTTAATTTCATCTTTAGACAAACCCCAAACCAAGCATTAAATGTTTCTTACCAGCCAGTCTATTGCAGTCGAGAAACTCAATGGGATATGTTTGCCCAAATCCTGGCACCCGCACCTGCACCCCTGGTGAGTTGGAAGACCGCCGAGTCGTCTTGTTGTAAACAAGTCTGGGGCACAAAAATGGACATGGAGAGTTATGAAAGTGTACTTGGGCAGAAACATTCTCAAATGTGACTTTAATATCAGACAGGACAATTATACTGGGCAATATTTTAGCTCTTTTCAGATATTATTACAACCATAGTATAACCATAAAAAGAAAACGTAACTAGCTGTAACACGCCAGGCACCTTGCGGTGAGCAAGCTTAAATGCAATTGCCATAGGTAAATAGCTAGCGATAGGCTTTTAACCAACTACATTACATACATACACGTCACCCCTGCTAAGCTAGTACGGCTAACATTTGGCATGATGACATTTAGTAAGCTAATTTAGTCACTTGTTAGCAACTGCCGTTTTCATGACACAAAGAACATTTGGACATTCACAAGCAGAGTATTTGCTGACGTACTTTTTGTCGTAGAACAAAACGTAAAAATATCCTAAGTTAACCACAGACCTTATTTCAGGTATCTAACCAATATAAACATAAAGAAGGTTGACTTCCAGATGAGGGGAAATGTTAACTCATTTTCAAGCTTCAGGACTTATTTCTGCACCACTCTATTATATCATTAAGATGCTAAAAGCTAATACATGATACAGAAGAGAATAGGCATTAAAAGGCAGTCAGTGTTACCTAATGTTATCAATCCAGCAGTCTACACCTACTGGCATGAACATGTTGAGGTCAATCCACAGGGGGAACCAGTGCTCAGTCTTCTTGTAGCACATCCAGTGGACCAGCGTCGGCTTGTCTATCTTTGCTTCCAGACGGTTCCCCAAATTCCCTGGCACTGGACACACATAAACACAAATACACATGTTACATCAGTGAATCTTAATTCAAGCGAAGCACTGTAGGGTAATTCACCACTATGCTTTTTTTCTGTTGTTTTACCTTTACACTTACACAGTAACAATGTCAATGGGTTACTTTTGTAACGTTAAGTGTTGAGAGTTCTGTTTTCCAAAATGTTTCTTGTTCAGCTTTTAGCTGTAAAATAAACAACAACTACTCTGTATAGTCAAAGATAGAAGTTGTTCTTCTCTGTTTTCTCAAAAATGTTGAGGTGCCATACATTTCTCTTATTTTTTGTGTAATTTTTCTGTTAAGAAGAAAAAGTAGTAGAGGTCAATTCCAGGAGCACCAAAAGTTCTTAACTGTCCAAATATGTTCATACCAATGTGTTTGGAATCACCATGAACTTGGGGTGCATGTCCAATTGTTTTATTAAAAGCATTTGTAATGCATAGGCCTGGCCAATATATTATATTGCATTTGTTTTGGCGATCTTAACATAATACACATAGGTGTTGTGCAAAAATACACAATTGAAAAATTGGTAAAATGCCACCAACAAATTCCATGGTTTCAGTAGGCTACTCCCGGATATACAGGAACATCAAAAAGCATCTAACAATAACCAAGAAGCTCGCCATATCATCCTCTAGGGATTTTTATAGTCTTACTTAGGATCAATGGTCCATTTATCCTTTTTAAGCCCACTCATTAAAATAATCCAATCAATATAATTACTTTTAAACATATAATAATCCAAATAGTAAACTTTTGTCCTCTTGACCACGTCCTAAACAAATATGATGAAATTGGAAAACATCAATGAATACTAGAAATCGATTGGATAACAAAGATTAAAATCATTTTGGATCGTTCAGGGTTTCAGATTTGTTCTGCTCTGACACGTTTTTCCAAATTGAACAATCTTGAAAGATATGAAGGAGGACTCCCTATTTGGTATTTATATTGCAACAAGCTGTTGCAAGTCAACTTTGCCTTAGTTTAAGGGTCACCAGCTGAAAAGGTTGCTGCTGTAGATCCCTGGTCATTGAACTGTCTTGTTTTTCACCTATACTGTAAAAAAGAGAAGCTGTTATATTTGGAAAGAACCAAAGTTAAGACTCAAAGTTTGGATCCCACAATATGTTGGGATGGTTCATTAAATATATAGAAAAAGTATGTCCAATATTAACTTTGATGCTTTCATAACAGTCCTTCATTTCACAACATAATCTGTAGACCACAGCATCTATACTTCTTTTGAGGAAAGAATATGTAACAGTGGATCTAAAAATAAGTAAAACTGCATATTAAAATGTTTATTTTGACTAAACAGCAGGTTTTCTGTGTTTCAACAGTGATTGGCATGGGATTTCTCAACTTTTCACACGTGGAAACCCTCAAGTCTGGGCTCCTTTGCAGCAGACTGCATGAATCATGTTTGGTTAACAACCTTTTGACTGCAAACAAAGGGTCATAGGGTGTGGGAAGAGAAAAGTTCTGCAGGGAATCCTAAAATAAATTAAAATCTAATTCCTAATAATGGTTGCGTAAACGAACCCTACTGTCTTGAATACAAATTAGTTTAATTTCTGATATATTATATATTTATACAGTCAATGTATTATTTTATTGTCTTTTGACGTCAGAGCGTCTGCGCTATTGGGTTATTTGGTAGCAATTTGAAGGTCAGTAGTTAACTAGAGAATGCAATTCCTGAAGAAATTGCTAGTGGGAATGCTTTATGCTGAAAAGTAATGTGTAAGAAGAAAGTGAAGAATTTAGATTGAAATGATACATGAACACTGGGGGCTTGAATGTGTGATGAGAGAAGAAAAGAAAGTGAAAAGGCTTGGAAAAGCAGCAGAATATTTGAACTGCAAACCTTTGAACTAACTTGATGGTGAATGATCTGTCGCCATGCCAACGGCATTTGAAGAAATCTCAAAACTGTCCCGTAGATGTCTTCACGGCTGGACTGTTAGCACACATGTGAAGTTTGAGCACTTTTTGAACATTTTCATAGGAGTTATAGCGACATCGTCTTTTATGGCGAGGGATGCTTTTCCATGGAAACGGCATATGGTGAGATCTCAGATTTGGCGTAGAGCTGTTGAGGCATGGACCGGTGATATACAAGTGAAGATTGGGGGACGATCGGACCGTGTCCATTGGACTTACAGCGACATCGTGCTTCATGGCGAGCATTGTGTTGCCATGGCAACGGCATTTGAAGAAATCTCAAAACTGTCCCGTAGATGTCTTCACGGCTGGACTGTTAGCACACATGTGAAGTTTGAGCACTTTTTGAACATTTTCATTGGAGTTATAGCGACATCGTCTTTTATGGCGAGGGATACGGCCATGGAAACGGCACCGGTGTGGCAGAGAGAGAGAGAGAGAGAGAGAGAGAGAGAGAGAGAGAGAGAGAGAGAGAGAGAGAGAGAGAGAGAGAGAGAGAGAGAGAGAGAGAGAGAGAGAGAGAGAGAGAGAGAGAGTGTGTGTGCGAGTATGAAATGAACAGTTAGAACTGACTGCTGTCAGTTGGAGTGATGACATCATCGTGTTCCATTACACAGGTGTTTATGTAATGCTGCGTTCACACCGGACGCGATGCGACTATTCGCTTCGCTCTAATCGCTCCTATCGCATCGCTCTAAACGCTGGAGTTCCACCGCGGCTGCCAGCTGTGTTTACTCGCATCATTCAAACATGGCTCGGGAGCTACAACTACAACAAATGAACATATTTTACCGTGATTAAATTGTAATACACGTTTCTAAATGATGCCGAAGTAACAACATACTGATACCGGTTAGTAACAACCATGAATTAATGCTTTTGACAAGTCTGCAGACAAGACGGCAGGCAAAACACCTTTTAAAATGCTTGTTTTCTGAATGAAGATCGGGTCGACCAGGCTAAGCTAACGTTGTATATGCTCATTCCACACTCATAACAACGGCCTACAGACATAAATAAAGCAGCGACTGAAAAAATGGAACTCTCGCGTTTAACGCGGCACCGTTCAATCGCCTCAATCGCGTGATTCGCGTGATTCGCGCCGCATCCACCGCTTCATGCGCGCCGTCGGAGCGAATTCACGTCTGTCCGCGTCTCTGCATTGACTTTACATGTAATCGCGCCGCCCCCAAACATCGCATCGCGTCCGGTGTGAACGCAGCATAAGGGATAATGTGCAGCGACAAGGTCATTATGGAGAAAAGAAAGAAAGTTATTTTCCCCATAATGACCAAGTCGCTGCACATTATCCCGCTTATTACATGGCCACATTCTCAACAAAGTAATGATATGACTCCCAATATTAATTTAAATGCTTTTATGGATTTAGAAAATGATTTTATTGATTTAAAAAATAGTTGTATGTATTGATTTAAATTGACATGCATCCGCTAAGGAAAATAGTCCGTTGTTACCGTTTGAAAAACGTAGCAACGGCAGGAAGGCGGAGCTTTTTGATTACAGATTTGAAAACATCGTTGCTTGCTTTAAAAGTAGCACAATTCATTATGTCAAACCTTGGAAAGTATCTAGATATCCCTGCCCTAATGCCAAAGGAACTGCACACTGAATATGTTTTGCCGTTTGATGTCTATGTCTGGACCGCTGTGTAAAAAGGAGGGTTTCTGCCCGTTACTTCTCCGCTGTTTTCTTGTCGCTCTTGTCTTGTCAGTTAGAAAAGCAAACTGTATACAGTTAAATCGAACGGACTTGTTTGTGCAGATGTGAGCGTCCTTAACAACGGTCAATAAATCCTTGACAGCGGTCTGTCTGTTCTGGATTAACAACGTGTCACGTGTTCTGAATTGACCAATCAGAATCGAGTATTCAACTAAACCATGTAATAAAGTTGAGCTAACGAGCTATGAAAAGATCAAAGGCTTCATTGTTCTGAATGAGAGATAAACCTCTTACATGTGAACGTTTTGTGGAAGAACGATAACAGATATCTGTGAAATTTCAAAACGTGAAGCATGTCAAGGAAGTTGAGTATCTGAAGTGTAATTTTTGTGTACTTTGGGTTAATAATGTGGCCTTTTTGGCAGTTTAAGAAAGGTGTGCGGCTGCTGCTGTGAGGAAATATCTGCCTGAAATTACAATGGGCTTTAATGGAGACATGTTGAACGTTTTTGTCACTTCATGCCCTCAAGAGGCATTTTGTTTAATTATTTTGCTTAATTATTTGTCATTTTTCAAGCTACGAGATGTTTTCCTACGTTTCTCATGAAAAATTAAGTCTCAGGAATGTAGGGTTTGGGAATTATGGCAGTTTTAAAAAAAAATATGAAGGGAAATTTCAAGATTTCCTACCCTCTAGCTGTGACATCACGCACTCTAACTTAACGAGCTGCGCAATGTTAAAGTTCAAATGTTAAAAATGTGATGTATTATGGGATGTATCTCTGGAATTATGAAAGTTATGAATGATAAAAGTAATAGCGCCCGATTCCCGACCGAGCTGAACGTTTTGATGTTTGAACGGAGTTTCTGCGATGTTGAATGTGGGAGGAGAAGACGGACAAAATAATTGGATGGAATAATAACTCGTTTGTCCGTAGCATAACATATAGTTGGAATGCTGTATCAGCATTCCCACTAAATGACACATACAATCAGTCTTAGTTAGAATTCAAACATTGGTACCCTTCACGGTAACACTTTTTGTTAGTGCGATAGACAATAAGACATGTTTAAAGTGTTTGTTGATTGTTATGTGTGTACCTGCCCAGATGGAAATTAGCCTTTAGCCATATTCTGTCATATATTTTCTCTCTTTGAGATTAAAGTATTGTATGCATTGTCCTTGTTCAATAAAGACTAAGATAAAGAACATGACATATTAAAGTAAAACAAATACATATCTTGATGATATCATATCATACATCCATCTTATCACAAATATCGACAGGAAAACATGACTTGTCAAAAAAAGCTTTGTTGAACTTTTATCATTTCCAGCCCTTTATAATTGTGCGAGAAAATTGTCCTGAACCTGAATGAAGAGCAGAAGTCAGCAAAATGTCAGTTCTGATTGTAACACCCTTATCTTTTACTGAATTATTTCCAATATTACTTTGTAACTCTTGAATTCTTCCAGAAGAATAACAATATCTGCTGGACTGAAGGGCGCATAGCAGTATGACTCCATTCTTTAGCCCTTTTTTAAGGTTTAAAAAAAGATTCCAAACAAGTCCAATTTTTTCTCAAATTCATAGCTTATTAGCTGTTTTTTGGTTTGATCTACTGTAAGCCAAAGTCAAAGTCTCTCTTTCTAAAACTGGCCCCTTTCAGATCACATGATGAAAACGACCAAAGACACAGGAGCAGGTCTAGACATGTTATATACTTATTGTTATCTACTGTATGCACTTGGGGCAGCTTTACTCTATCTGGGTTGCTGACCTTGCTTTTTTAGCGTCATCATGTTTACAAAATTGAATGGAGACCCTAGCTGTGTATCTTTCTTTGTGTATTTGTCAAGCTAAATTTACTAATCTAATGTCCGATGGCTTTTTAAGCTAAGACGTCTAACTAAGAAGACTTTCTAATACTTTACAGGATAAAATATAATTAAAACCTTAGTGTTAATGAAAAACATGACCCAGACAGATAACAGTGGGGTAGTGTGATTAACACAGCAGGGCTCCTAAAGTGATGTGATTAAATGAGGTAAAGAGTCGGTATGAAAATAGAAGAAGGAATCCAGATTTAAAGGTCAGAGAGGAGGGAAAATGAAGAAGGAAATATTGACCTAAAATTGAAAGAGGGCCAAATTCATTGTCTTCACAAGGCCAGAGAAGTAAAACCCTACAGAGCATGACCACCAGATCAAACGTTGGCCCTTTGAGGCTGAAAAGACTTAGTATGACCTATAAGCAGGAGACAAACAGACATGTTGTCTCTATTCCATGCCAAGGCTATCAGGGGGCGTTTGTAAATTAAATACATTGAAACCTACTTTGGCATTGTTATCATTTTTCATTAAACATCTTAATGTCATTACTACATATATAATATTTTTTATATTTAATTATACATGTGATAATAATATTGGCAAAAAACTTAACAATAAAAAAAACGTTAAATATATAGTTTTTTTAAGGATTCAGCAATGAGTGAAATGACTTTCCAATTAGTCTGACAGAAAGGCCATCAACATAGTTATTATCTTTTTACTTAATATTCTTCGTCCATGTGATATTTCCCTGACTCTTTCGATATCATGCATTTCTACTCCACCCCCTAAATTTGTATTATTTCCTTTTTGAGAATAAAATTAAAAAGCAGGTCACATACAGTAAACACAGGGTCAAATGTACAGAGTACATTATACAGCATCACTGATAGCCTAGACATCAATACACAGACAGTGAGTTAGAGAGAGATAAAGCTGGTATTAACCCCTTGTTTCTTCCACTATCTGAAGAAGAAGAAGAAAAAGAAGGCGACATACTTTCAGTTTGTGCAATGTTTACACGTTTCTATAATTGAATACTTGGTCAAAAGTTTCATCATTTGCCCAGTTATTCAGAAATCAGAATCGGTTTTATTACCAAGTAGGTTTACACATACCAGTAATTTGCTTTGGTATATATGGTGCATAGCCTACAAAGACACAAAGACAAGAATACGTAGCAAAAAATAGTACTAATATTAAAGCATTTAAAAAACAATTTTAAGACGATTGTTTCAAATAAAAAATAAATATAATATTTACAACAAAAAAAAATGCGAGAAACTGAGAGTACAGTTACGGTAAATATGACAAATACTATATTCACACTATTCATATACTTTCAATTAAATAAGCTAAAACTATATGACAAACTTTTAGCTAGGGGCTTTCAGGACCCCTGTTGATATTAAACCTTGGTCAGGCAGGCAGATATTACATTCTGGATATGCTAAAATAAATCAGACATTTAAACATTGACTGCACAGTCCCTTCGCTTGGCTTACCGATAATAAGAGGTGGAGTGCTGTTGCTCGGTATTATGGATTTGGCGTTTGGCGGGAACACGACGTTGAGTATCCAGAAGCCGGAGGCGTGATGGAGCCCCAGCAGGAAGACGAGCAGCAGCCCCGAGCAGAGCGGAGCAGCCGGCCCCATGGTTCCTCAGACTGCGTGTGGGACTGCGCGGTGCTGGGTGTCGGTGTGAGTGTGTGCTGGAGGCGGGGAGCTGGCGTACCAGTGTAAAGGTTATATTCCCTGGACGACTTGGAAAAAACGACAGAACCTTTCTGTTATGCTTGGCTCTCAAACGCGATGATGAATCAAGCTGTCAGAACACACATGTAGGAGGCAGCAGGCACAGGGATATTGATTCTCCCCAATCCCACCAATGTATTTACACAATAGAATGTCAATGACTGACCAAGAGAGAAAACGTCATTTTTCTGAGACAAGAAATCAATTTGTTTCTACGAAAAATAATTCAATTGTGTTAAGTGTTCCTTTAAAAAGACATGTTGTTTTGCCTCTTTTGGGATTATTATTAATTATACTTTATTAAATTAAAAGACACACCGGCAAAGGTAAACTGTTTTAATTTCATTTTTTTTTAAAGTTGAATTTACATGTGTACATTGGTGGAATTTACTCAAACTGTTCTTATGAACAATTTTGAGGTACTTGTACTTCCCTTGATTGTTTTCAAACTATAATACTTTTTACTTTAATACATTTTGGAGGCAATCCTGACTTTTTAAACCACTACATTTATTTTCCAAATGTTGTTACTACGTTGTCACGATGTATTTATAATAGAGAATATAGATTAACTAATACATTATTATGTATTATTATGGGTCAAGTTACCCAGCAGTATATCAGGTTATAATCCCCCCTTTACAAAGTGCAACAAATGCATAACAAATTATAGTACAAAAAAATACAATATTTTTTATTATTTTTTACTTTTTGTACCTAAAGTATATTTTGATGCCATTACTTTTGTACTTTTACTTGAGTATACAATTTTGAATGTAGGACATTTACTTTCAACAGAGTACATTACACTGTAGTATTGCTACTTTTACTTAAGTAAAAGGTCTGAATAATTCTTACACCTCTGATTGTAAAACATTTGCATGATAATTTAAACAAAAGGATAAACTTGACTTCACATTCAGGAGTATTCGGACTGCCAGAACTTTCCAGTCAATTTATGGTGCTTTCAAGTTCTGCGTTAACTCCACTTCTTTCAGACTTTATTATGTAGAAATTATAATAATTAAGAAAGTAACATAGTATAAGGTACAACAACATCATTATAACATTGAAAAACATTTGTGACCTTTTAAATTGTGTTTCACAATCAACCATTTTGTTTTCCAGAGACAGAATTAAGAGAAAAATGTAAGGTGTTTCTATGGCCTACAGATTAAAACCATAAATTAGAAAAGACTTTAATGCCCCCATAAAAGCCTGTGGAACATTTAAACTGCCATATGTATGTACTGTAGGTACTCGTTAATTATACAGGTTTGCTTTGTTGTTCAGTGGCATTTTGATCTTTAAACTTTAAAAGATAGCAAAGTAAGGCAGAATATTAAAATGTCATCAGACTTTGGTTTTTACCATGGATACAGAATACCCCAGCCGGTGAACTCATAATCAGGGAATCACATAATTTCACAAGGTTTTCATGGAAGATGTTTTTCACAAGTCCCATAAAAATATGTTTTAGAGTGAAAACTGAGATATCAACATCCTGACCATAATATACTCTGTTCACTTGCAGCTATAAGTGCACATGAACTATAGTGACCCAGAGTAAACATGCCTTATTGGACATGTTTGGACACAGTCAGTAACTTTTGGGGGGCGTATGATCATTGCCTCATACACCTTTCTATCCATCGTAAACATAATAATGTGAGGGGATGTCTTCCCAAATGAATGGGCCTATTTCAAACACATAGATTCTTATTGCATAAAATAGTGTATAAAATTGCTTTAATAGTATAGATAGTATGAATAAATAGACTCCTTCGAAAATAAATTGTCTCTGTAGCTCATATATCTATGGTGTTACATGTGCACAAGTGATGTCAAATAGTTATTGATTAAAACACTTATTAACTAAGTGACCATGGCAAAGGATCTTGTTGTCCTTTCCTTACTAAATAAAACTAGCCCCCCAAAAAATGGACATTCCTTCTCAAGGTTCAAGGTTCTTTATTGTCAATCTGACATAGCTACAGAGTAATTATGCAGTTGAAAATCTTATGTCACAGGCTTCTCCAACAATGCAACATAATAACATAACATAATAACAATAAGAGCAAGAGCAATACAAAAATAATAATAGTTATAAAAATGAAATAAAGTTATGATGTGGAATAGTGCAGTATGAGTCTATATACAAGTTATTGGAATGATATATATATATTAGGTATTAGGTATTCTGTTATTCTCTCAAGCTGATTTTTCTGGTGTTTTTGCAAATCCAAGGTATGGATTCTGATATATATTTCATATTTAATTCTGAGATATTTCCTGAGACTTGGCAACCCTTAGTTGATTAGAAGACAAATAAAAAAATGCAAAGTCTCTCCTCAGAGCTTATTAATACCTGAAATGATATGATGACCCCTAGAGCAAATTTTGGAAGGGTGCAGCCATAATATCATCATCGATGTTTAATTTAATTTAATTCAGTTTTTGCTGTCTTTTGTTTATGTTATTATTTTACTAAATTAAAGTTATTTTATTATCCAACGTGCCTTTATGTCAGGTTTTTATTGTCTCCATTTAATTTGTGTGAAATTATTTAATACCAGCATGTAAAATAGTCTATTCAAATTGTTGCGGCAACAATGTAGTATACAGAAAACAAATAGTACAAAGTATGCCCATTGCATTTATGTTGGTTACTGATAGGAAAACTCCGGATGTGCTTATTTATAATACCTACATCCAGAGCCATATCATAGAATCTATATGGCGCTGCCCAGAGCCGTATAATAGAATATATATAATATGAGATATGATATGATATGATATGATATATATGATATGATATATGGCGCTGGCGCTGCCTACATCTAAACACCAAACAAACGCACTCTACGTTTCGTTGCGAACCATCCAGAAGAGGGAGCTAATTGGACAATCAGCATCCCAGAACACCACAGAAGAAGTTAATTAACCCGGAAGTAGGCGGGACTCCGGTTCTGTAGAAGAAGAAGCTAGCCGCTAGCCCCTCTGTGCTGCAAGTTCGGATTCTGTCTCTAGCCGGTCAACATGGTCCAACTGGTGGGTCCCCTCCGAAAAGAACTCGCCGACTCCCTCTCCACCTGCAAGGTGCTGGTGGTGGGAGCGGGAGGTATCGGCTGCGAGCTCCTGAAGAACCTCGTCCTCACCGGCTTCAAGAACATCGAAGTGGTCCGTCTCACTTGTGTTTGTGTGTGTGTGTATGTTGGCTAGCTAGCTAGGTCTTTGTGCTACCCAGACAGCGACTGGGGGTTTTCGGGCTGAGGCTAATTGCCGGGTCGTAACATTCCAAGAAGTAACACATGCATTCGTGGTGGTTTCTTGATACCCCTCTGTATCCCAGTGAACATGCTCGTGCATTAATTTGTATAAATATGAACACCGGTGGAGCATTTTCAACTGAAGCATTTGGCGCCATTAACAGTGCTAAGTTAGCTAGTAAACTTATTTCAGATGCACTGTAATTTGGACGCCCCTTTGTTTATATGCGTCAGGTTATCTTATTCTTATTTTTTTCCCTAATATGTTGCGTATTTCTGACCCACTGGATCAGAGTGAAGTGTTTAGAAACATTTGAAGATCGTGTCGTTGAGGGGTGCCGGTACACTGAATATTAATATTGATTAATACATTCTCACCGTTATTAATTTTCTCAGAAAATGAGCAGAAATGTACGGTGGCCCTGAAGTGCAAGACACCACAGCATTTCACAAAACACTACAGCATTTCACAACACTACAGCATTTCACAAAACACTACAGCATTTCAGAAAACACTACAGAAAACACTACAGCATTTCAGAAAACACGACAGCATTTCAGAAAACACTACAGCATTTCAGAAAACACTACAGCATTTCAGAAAACACTACAGCATTTCAGAAAACACTACAGCCTTTCAGAAAACACTACAGCATTTCACAAAACACAACAGCATTTCACAAAACACAACAGCATTTCAATACAATTAATTGTGCAGCCCCTATTCTGGAATGTTAAGAAGTTTAGAGGCCCTTATTATATAGTGGAACTGTTCCTGTTTGTCTATCTGCACAGACATATTTCTGTCCAAAATAAAATAAAAACAAATTGCTATATCCAATGCTGTGACAGGTACATTGTAGCTGCCTGATTCTGATATGTCACATGACATCACAACCATATTGATTTTTGCAGATTGACTTGGACACAATTGATGTCAGCAACCTGAACCGACAGTTCCTCTTCCAGAAGAAGCATGTCGGCAAGTCTAAAGCACAGGTATGAGATCCTCAATTAACCTCTGTCGCTGCTCGGTATAAAAAACAATGCTGAAATGCATTCTTTCTGTAACACCACACCGTAGTCTGACATTTTTTTGGTGTGCTGTTTCTCTTGCTCAGTTGGTTTGTGTTGTTTTGCAGGTGGCCAAGGAGAGTGCATTGACGTTTTGTCCCACTGCAAATATCACTGCCTACCATGACAACATCATGAAGTGAGTTCCTTTTGTTTCTTATTCTTTTTAATTTGTAAAATTAATTAAAGAGTTTGGAAACGGATGGGTTTTTTTTTTTCTCCCAACAGCCCTGACTACAACACGGAGTTCTTCAGACAGTTCATCCTGGTGATGAATGCTCTGGATAACAGAGGTACGGTTCTCATGTGACCTCACCTCCCACACATAGTGTGTTCCTCTGCCAACACATTCAAATAATGAGGAAAATAAAACACTTTCTGTCTCCATAGCGGCTCGTAACCATGTGAACAGGATGTGTTTGGCAGCGGACATCCCTCTGATAGAGAGTGGCACAGCCGGATACCTTGGACAAGTCACAGTCATCAAGAAGGTAGAACATGCACTTCATTATTTTACTTGTAATGACATCAACAGAGTGGTGCAGTGATGATGTATTTGTGTAGGTAGACCCAGAAAGTAGCATAGCAATTGCTTACTTGACAAGCAAGGGGATTTTCCATTGGATTTTAGAATTTTGCGGAAAATTAGTTCTGTCAGAAAAATCACGTTTATGATACTTACATTTTTTGTTCAGCAGGATAATCTTCTCACATTAACACTGCTATATTATTTATAAAACGTAAATGCAATCGCCAAAATCTAT